CTGGGATCAGGAATGGAACAGTATTGTCTTTAGTGACGAGTCTCGATTTCGTTTAGGCATGCACGATGGTCGTGCCAGGGTTAGAAGGCGACGTGGTGAAAGGAGGAATCCACAGTTTTTTGTTGAAAGACATGTTCATCACACTGTTGGAGTTATGGTTTGGGGTGCTATAGCTTATGGTTCCAGGTCACCTTTAATCTTCATCAGAGGTAACATGAACGCGCAGCGTTATATCCACGAAGTTCTAGAACCTCATCTTTTACCCTATCTTGACACCCTGGCAGATCCAACTTTCCAACAAGATAATGCCCGACCACATGTTGCACGAGTCACTTCTTTCAACATAATGATGTCACATTGTTACCATGGCCACCAAGATCTCCCGACTTATCCCCAATTGAGCACGTGTGGGATATGATGGGTAGGAGATTGCTCAATTTGCAACGTCCTCCTCAGACTCTAGAAGCACTTTGAGAGGAGTTGGTGGTTGCCTGGAATGAGATACCACAGGAGGACATTGACCACCTGATCAGAAGCATGCCTAGGCGCGTTGGAGAATGCGTAGCACATCAGAGTGCATCCACACATTATTAAAGGTCAAAGGGCTTTAAAGCAGTGCAATCATTTTGAAATTTTTATCATTTACTTATTATGCTTCATTAAGTACTTATACAAAATTTTATTAAAATAAAACCATTTAAACTGAGTGTTCGGATTTATATGTCACTTAGTATAAGTAATAAACGTTGCTATTTTCAAATTTGTTTTTTAGCTCCTGAAGATGACAACATAGTATGTAGAAATCTCGAGACTTAAGTAAGTTATAGAAACACAACTTTTTGTTACCTATGCAAGTAAGATAAATAACTCTGGTTGATTGATACTAATACAGTGCTTGTTAAACAGGCCCCTTACCTAAGGCCCGTATCGTCAGTCGTCCCTACAATTGTAGGGCGCATTTATGGCCTCCTTGATTGTCATACTGCTTTCTCTCCTTCAAAAATTTCTAGATTACACTTGTCCCGTGTCAGCGTCAGCGCTCTCCTATTGTGAAGATATGTTTTCTTTTTAAATAGTAGGAACTTTCAGGCTGATAAAACATGATATAACACAAAAGCAAGCAAGCACAATTTGATGCAAATAGATGTTTGTGACATAACCTCAAAATAGAGCGCTGACACGGAGAAGTAGTAAACTATGACAATCAAGGAGGCCATAAAGGCGCCCTACAATAGTAGGGACGACTGACGATACGGGCCTTAGAGCACAAAAACAATATTTTAGCGTAAACGTAACAGATGCACAAGATCGCGGCTAGGCGCCATTTTGGACATTTTTTAAATGGAACTACAGGTTGTGTGATACCTCATTACAAAGCTCCTTATATCCCTAGAATGTAAAATCATCATTTTTAAAATGGCGAACTGTTAGACCGTCAAAATTGAGCATTATTGTATTCTATAAACTGACCCCCTCTTAACTTTCTAGCATGGCTTTTTAGAAAAAAGTAATATACATAAGCTGTAGGGTCTAATATAGGGTTTTTCTGGCAATGACTATTTTACACCATAAAAGTGCTATCGAATAAAGTTGTATGTTTTAAATGGAACACCCTGAGCATTTTTAGTTAAAAATGATAGTCAATATTTTTGTCTGTTATTTTAATTGCCTTAGTCAAAAACTCCAATTATACGTCTCATCATATGTATCCGGCATTTATACTAGATTGCAAAGGCGGCTAGATGCAAATTGGCCTGTACTTGGATACCCATCAATTATTCATGCACAAAATTTATGATTTTGATCTGATGAAAGTATGCTGAACATATTTCTAATCAGAAAAATGCGACTATCATTTTGACTAGTTTACAGAGTGTTCCATTTAAAAAAAACACACACAACTTTATTCGTTACCACTTTTTTGAGATATCTTGTATTTAAAAAGGATACTGCACGTTAAGACCCTACAACCTTAGTATAATACATTTGTGTCCTAAATGGCCATACAAAAAAGATAAAAGAGAGTTAATTTATAACGAAACGCCCTGTGCAATAAACTTAATTCCTTTATCATGCTTATAGTATTTGACGCGGTACCACTGTATTTATGATCTGCTTTTGCGACTTGAAAATCGTGTCTAGAGAAAATTATGATTTATGCTTGTGCCATTGATTTAAAAAAGCTTCTAAGAGTGAGCATAATTTTTAGATATGATTGCAGCTTTGCCAGAACTACAAGTTTGTCTTTTCTAAACTCTCCCAAGATCGACTTTATGAAAAAATGTAACCTACATGTTCGTGTTCCATCACCCCAACAAATCAACCTCAGTTATCCTTCTGAATTTAAGCGACAAAACTCAAATTTCGGCCTCACAGCAGTGTTGCATGGTATACAGGATGGCCCAACGAAAAGGTCGCACTCCTGTTTGTGACTCTCCTGGTATATTTTGGGAAAAACGCTCGGACACGGCAATTTTGATTCCTAGGGGACGTCTTTTCATCTATAGACGTCCCCTAGACGTAATATAGGGTGATAAAAAATAAGATAATGGGTTATCAATTTTCAAATTGAAGCCCCCATTTTATTTAATATCTAGATTTTCCATGAAGTGTTTAGTAACTTTTGTATAATAAAGCTTATTCGAAGTTTGTTCGAATCTATTCCAAAAAAAGTAATCTAAAGGTCTTAGTTCCGGAGATCTCCGCGGCCACTCGATGGGGCCTAGTCTGCCGATCCACTGATTTGGGAAACATGTCCAAGTACGTCTCGCACGTCAAGTTTCCACACAATTATTTTTTCAGGATATTGCGTGTGTATCTCTCAAAACAAATAATAGAAAAGAGGTAGCCAGTCCACGAGTGCTTTGGGTGTTGTCCAGTGCTACGTGCCCCAAAACTGCTATTTCTCCGGCTTCATTTTTAACTGGTCGACTTTCTCGAATATTAGATACAGATACAGTTTCTTCAAATTTTCTCATCAACTTAGCCACATACTTATCAATAATATTTTTGTCTGGATGTTACACATTAAAGAACCGGCCAGTAGCTCTTGCAATGCTCTTATTTTGGTAATACAGTTTTGTTATTTCTGCCCTTTCTTGAATTGAATAAGTCGTTGTTCAATATTTATCACAACTAGGTAGGTAACTTAACAATTTGAAATAGAAGACAAAAGTTTTTTATGACATACGAAACATTGAGTGATGCTAAATGTTCTTGCTGATATCCTTGATTATTATTTTTTCCCGTGCATTCCATTATTATCAGTATTAAATCAGTTTAATTTTATTATACACTCAAATAGCTTCACAACGATTGAAGATAGGTATAAGCGTTATTATACAAAGGTTACTAAGTACTTCATGGAAAATCTAAAAATTAAATAAATGGGGTTTCCATTTAAAAAAAGTAAAGTGTAAACATCTTATTTTTGGATCACTCAGTATTGTATGGCTATAGATGAAAAGTCGTCCCTCTAGAAATCAAAATTGACGTGTCGGAGCGTTTTCCCCAAAATATACCAGGAGAGTTACAAATGGGGTGCAGCCTTTCGGTTGGGGTACCGTGTATGTATATTCGATATGTTTTCGGTCAATTTGTGCGAACTTTTCCAGTAGATTTTGATCGATACTAAACCAAAAGAGAACATTTGCCGGTGATTGAAAATTGGAGAGGGGGCACCTTGTTTGAGCTCCACTCGGTTTCCAAAATTGATGAGCGGAAGGGGTGGTGGGTAGCATCCAATGCTGAAATGCCGCTGTTTAAAAAACATTATCAAGCGCGGGTTTGCCACCAAATCCTTGAAATTGAGAAATCCAGGGCGGGGGGATGTGGTAATTAGCATCAAATGCTGAAATGCTGCTACTCAAATTTTAAAGAACGCAATGTTGCTCCAAATCTAAAATTAAGGAGCGGGGGAGATGCGGCAAGGTGCTCTATTCTTGTGTTTTGTTGAATTATTACGAATATTTCCCTCATGTATAAAAATGCCGTAAGAGGTGGGGAATTACCGCAAAATAACAGCGAAAATTTCCTGTTGCCTAGACAATGGGAAATTTTCATGAGTATTATCATAAGGGCATCCAATTTTTCCGAAAAAAATCGAAAAAACACGTTGCTAAGTAATATTTTGACAGGGCGCATGAGTGCTGGTGGCACCTGCACGAATGTTTTTTGTTAAAAAAATATTACTTTGCATTGTGTTTTTTCGATTTTTTTCACATGGTAAAATTAGAAGCCCGAATGGTATTTGACAAGACTATTTCATGAGTAACTAAGGTGACTAGCACTGTTTAAAAACGAAATTTGTTGACAATAAAATCAGAAAAATTGTTTACCGTCATTTTTTAGTGTTCTAGGTGACCATAGTTACTTGTTATCAAAGATATTGTAATTTCTGGTGACAACAGCTGTCAAGTTTTGCACGGGTGAAAGGTTCCATCTATAAACCATTTGTAATTCAAAATTGTGATTGGTAGAAATGAAGATGAGGGAAATAGTCAGGGAACATTGCCCAGTAAGTATCGAAAATTTCCGTATCTATAGTTACGATTGATGAAATGTGTATTAATTTGTGATCCTGACATGGGAAACTCGGAAATATTCTATTGAATTACACTCGTGTATCAAAATAAACCTGATAATTTTCCATTCAAGCATGTTGTCAGTAAGAAACCGCATGCAGTTATTTTCATATTTTGGCGAACGAGCCCGAAAATAAACTCATTCAGTTTTTAGACTACACGCGTTCATGAAAAATGATCAGTAATTTTGATGCACTTGTGTAATTACTTCCGAAAATATTCAGGATATTGAGACACTTTCCGGCAGATCTCGCATTAAAATTGGTATTTCGGTAGAATAGGAAAACCTCGGTAGACCTGGTAACACTGCTTCATAGTGCCTGACAACCACCTGTCAAGGTCTGATTTGTTTTACTTTATCACAACCCACAGATTACGCGAAATACTTTCAACGCCAGGATTTTCAAATACCCTTACCTCAAATTATTGAAGAAAATTCACAATCATATCACAAACTTGCTTTTTCGCACGCCATCACAAATTACAGTTCCACCGAACCACTCGAAGTAGTACCACTAGCGAGCGCCTAACTGTGCGCTATACGAGTACCATCTGACATAACAGCCGAGACTTCTTCAGTATAAGAACCGTTTGGCGTTTGATACCGTGCGTTCTAAATTGGTACGCACACGTCGCGGCTGCTGTTGAATGTAGCAAGGGAGGTGCATCTCAAAATATAGCGTCAAGTAGGCTGACTATGTATTTCCCAGACGCCGTCAACAGTTAATAAAGTACCAGATGGACGCTCTGAGAAAAAAAGCTAGTTATGAACATTTATAACGGAAAAATTAAAGGGAATAATCCATAGACATTCTTTCCCTGGCCAACCGGTAGTACCATCCACTTGACAACGACCCCGTTTCCCGATACCTGACCGCACGATGCGTCAGACACAGCAGCGCCAAACATCGGCAGTAACGGCAATCGGTATGCCCGTCGGTGAACCCAGAGAGCAAAAGCTGTGATGGGTATCGAAAATATTTCTCTATCAAGTCTTGAGGCCAATGTACGAGTAAATAAATCATGTGTAAAGTATGTTTAATAACTTCTTAATTGTTGTTCATCACAGCCTCCATGATAAAGCTTCCTACACAGTAAAGCTCATAAATCCTCTATTGGACGATGTGACATTATGTTCGTGGACAATCTGAAGCAATTTGGAAATGCAGTTATCAATATACTCGTAGCTCTGACTATTCAAAACTTCATCCCTAACTCTTCCTACAAAAGGTTGCGATACACCCTGTTAGAGATTGCGCACCAGTCATACATATTTTTCCTGAAAAAAATTGATATGTCCACCCCACCCCTTACAACCCCCGACCCTCATTTTTTGTTATACATATTTTTCCTGAAAATCATCAAGAGAATCTGAATTGTCACAAAAAAAAGAGTTTGAGCGACTTCTATGTTTTCGTTTTTTGCCTTTTTCTCAACTGCCTCTGGACCGATTTTGAAAAACCATAACGTTCGTCCGTCCTTGGCACAGTAGTAACTTTGTGCGGAAATTTTATGCAAATCCGACCAGTACTTTCCAAGTTATAGGCACTCTAAGGATTATCAAGCTGACCGACAAGCAGACAGACGGTTCTTTGGCTAATTATAGTTTTTCACGATTTTATGACTTTCTCGCCAGTAGGCGTGGAAAGTAAAAACGTATTTACTGAAATCAGGCCGCAGCCATAAAAGACATTTCCACCGAAACTGTATGATCTTTACATAACTGCGAAGTTATTGGTGGAATTTAATAGGCAGTGAAGAAGGTCATCAATACGCAACAAAACTCCTGGGAACCAAAACTGACGCCTGGTATGGTTGGGTAAAGACAATTAATTATCGAATAGATAAAAAATCGCGTCAAGTAGATTGACTCTGCACTTCCTACGCAACGCCGTCATCAGTTCATAAATTATTAAGCTCAGCGCAATTTAAATCCTCTGAGAAAAAAGTCCGTTACGAACATGTACAACAGAGAAAATAAACGGAACAAGTCAGTGTAACAGGCCTTTACAGTTAGTCCATAGATATCCTTTCCCTGCCATACCGGTCATTACTGTCCATTTGGCAACGCCGTCCCTTCCCACGGCATCGCTGCAATGAGTTATCGTTCACTTCGTACATGGTCCGTGTATGTTTTTTGCGCTGCTGTACGGATAGATTAGCCAACCGGACCAGTTGGCCGGGCGTAGAGCTTAGATGACAGGAAGTACGCGGATCGGAAACACTATCACACTAAGTTTTAAAAGCAAATGTACGGCAAATCTATGATAAGTGAAATATGGCTAATAGGTGCAGAGAGTTACCGGGGTTGGGAGCGTATAAGTATACTAAGACCAAAACATTTCCATATACCTTCCCCCACTGTCTACAACCTCCAACAACCAAATTTCGACCCATACAAAAGTTTCCTGAAAGTGATCAGGACCCTCTGACATGTCAAAACAACAAGTTTGAACGATTTTCATCTTTTTCGCTTTCGGCTTTCTTTTTCTCCTCTGCGACTCAACCAGTTTCTGGTTGAAGACAACTAAGCTTTTTCGTCCTTGGCATAGTACCAGCCTTGTGTAAAAATTTTATCAAAATCCGAACGTCAAGTTATAGACGAGGCAGGGATTAGCGGACAGACAGACCTACAGACACGCAAACAGTCTGACAGACAGATAGATCGACGGAAATGAGTGATGTTATTGAATATAGGAATATAACGGATATCACCTGTACTATCGGCAATCGCAGTGTATTTAGAATAATCGCAGAAAAGTGATTTCAAGGGAAATATGTGATCTGTCTGATCGTTTATCTGACAACAAGCCATTGGATCTGTTTCCGCTAGGTGTGATGCCAGTATTTTGAAAGGATTTATACAAATTATGGATTGCGGATCGGCGAAGCTTCCGTACCTCCATGTAAAGATATGCTAAGTAGATGTAAATCTGTATTCTATTCTGCCTGAGGAAAATTATGTATTTAGTTGGATGTATGTTATAGGAAAGGACTGCAATTAAAAAGGAAAGAAAGGTGAAGCAGTAATTCCAAATTTGTGATTATGATGACACATTTTGTAGGGCAAATCAGATAACTTTGGGCCTTACAATATACGGTAGTTTGAACAAGTGAATAGAGTTTTTAATTTTTATTTCAGAAATGTATAACTGACATTGCCGACATACCACGCCACTGACAGATGGGCTAGTGGTGGCCGAGATATTTGTGGGATCCCAGCAGCATAACGGCGGCAAGTTTTGTGATTTAGGAATACTTTTATTAACTCTCAGTACGACCGTTATTGGGGTCAAAGGACACCATGCTAGAATATAGAGCTACGATGCAGTCCATTGGCGAAATAAAATCTAAATGGAGGTATACAGAAAAATCAATGAAATTGAATATAGTTTATGTTGCTACAGAATTTCGCCAGTTAGCATCGCCATGACATTGAAATACACTATACCATCGTCTAAACGGAAATCTATATTTTACCTGTTAACAGAAAATAGTATCACATTTACGTTTAGAAGATATAAGTTAACCCAACTCAATTTTTCTGCTTTCTCATTTTGAAACGAGCCTAACAAACTCCCAGCAAGTCCAATTTTTTCATTGAGACTAATTGCGTTTTGCTTTGTTACAGAGTAAAGGGCCTCCATACTACATGGGATCGACAGCTAGTTTGCCCAGAGGTGCAGCTCTACTTAGGGCGTACTCACCAGCAGTAGCTAGCTTATCGGCGGATAGGATGAAGTCAGTTCCTGCTGGTTAGTTTTACTACACAATTTTTTAGTTTGTAAAATTACAAATACGGAAACAAAGGTCATTTTCAGCTAAAATCTCAATTCTAACCATCCTAAATTTCTGGGTATGAAAATACCACCGATCTCGCCTTTCTTTTGTAAAGATGCTGGTATATACAGGGTGTTAATAAAGTATCTAGACATGCTTTAACCATCGAATCCTTGGTCAATTTGAAGACGAAATTTCCATATGAGCATGGGTCAGTGATGGCTTTGTCTTCAAGCTAGAGCATATTAGCACTAAAAGAAATGATGATGTTCTAAAAAATTATAAAAGAAAGGAACGTATTGTATTTTAATTAAGTATGCCCTGTGGTGAATATCACATGATTTACAATTATTTTCAGACCCTCCATGTACGTAGATACGGATAATGTTATCTCCAGTATTTTCTGAAAAAATAGCATGACATTGATTTTTTTTATCGCTATACCTTTAATATTTAACTATTGCCCTTCTAAATAATTTTTTTTCAAAAATACAGGATAATACTGTTTTCATCTACGTTCATATTGATCCTCAGCAACTTGTAAAGTATGCAAAATTTATCGTAGGTTATACCAACTAATCAATAAATACGTTTCATTATTCATAGAAATATTTGGAACAATACTCGTATTTCTTTAGTGATAGTGCTCTAGCTCGAAAAGAAAGCCGTTACGGATCCATGTTCATATGAACATTTAGTCTTCAAATTGACCAAAGATTCGATGGTTGAGTTTGTCTACATACTATATTAGCACCCTGTATATACCGGGTGTTTCAAATCGACCCTCACCACTAGTATCTTGGTAACAATAAGACATACATGAAGGCAAAGTTGCACATATATAGGTAACTAAGAGAATGTCGCTTATAAAGTTTCGAAATTCAAAGTACTTCCGAGAGGGACGGACAAAAGCGAATTTTCTCCAAAGTTCATTTAAAATTTTTCCTGACCTCATTTGTAACGGGATGCCAAAATAGATTGCACATTAACGTTGGCCATTTTCTCCTCTACAAGATGGCTTAATTAGAATTTCAATGTGGCGGTTCGCCTTTTTCACTCCAACATCAACGTCCGATTCCGATTTCAAAAATGCATATTATGATATATTGAAATAATATATTGACAATTCATTGACATTGCCAAACCTTAGTTATTTAAAAAAGACTGTATTTTCTAAATAAACTTTCAAATTCTCAGATTTTTATTTTTCCCGGACTTTATTTGAGATGGGGTCTCTAAATAAATTGGATGTTGTTATTATAACTTTTTCTTCTCTACAAGATGGCGTAGTCAAATTTTAATTTGAGATATCTTATTTCGACTTCCATTAATAACTTTGTTCTTTTGTTTGGATACTTAATTGGAATTTTGTACATTTAAATGAATTTTTCAGTCCTGTCCTCGATTTATGTCTCTTCCTCTAGCTCTAGCTCTGTACAATTTGAGGTCTTGAAAATTGCCATATGCTCCATTCTGCTCCTTTGCTCCTTTTTATTTCCTCTTTATTTTCGTTCAAACAACAAATTCATTGCCAACTAAGGAAATAAATACATCACTGAATTCAGGACTGAATGTCCCATTTAAATGTACAAAATTCCAATGTCGTGTCCATATGAAAAACAATGTTGGTGATCCAATCGAAAATTTGACAATGCCATCTTGTAGAGGAAAAACAGTGGTAATAACAATGATGATTTCGAGGCCTACCTAGAAAATACTATTTGTTTTTTAAATAGCTAAGGTTTGGTAATGCCAATTTATGACATATTATACATTATACATTTTTTGATTCAGAACTGTAAACTCTATTCACCTGAGCAAACATTCAATATGGCGTCCTAAAGAAACAGTATAGATGACGGAGGACAAGAGATGAAATTCCATATTGAAATTCTAATCATGTCATATTGAAGAGTAAAAAAGTGGCAATGTTAATGTGCAAATTATTTTGAAATCTCACTACATACAAAGTCAGCAAAAAAGTAAAACGATTTTGGGAAGATTCGTTTTTTTCTCGGTCTCTCTCCGGAAGTACCTTGAATTTTGGAACTATTCAACAAAATAAGTTAGTTTTGCCTCTTTGGGTCCATTTAAGTGACTCGTACCGTTTCCGAAATCCCAATCGTGAGGGTCGAATGTGAAGCACCCGGTATATATCGATACAAACACAATCATTTGGTGTTTAATCAGTTTTTTCACAAAATCCTCATTCCATCGTTTTGTTCAGCGAAAATATGATAAATTAACTTAGGGCCTTATCGTCAGCCGTTCCTACAATAATTGTAGGATGCCTTTATGGCCTCATTGATTTTCATAATGTTTTCTTCTTTCCTAGCCTTTCTCCTTCAGAAGCCTGTGGTATTTCTAGATTTCTACTGTTCCATGTCAGCGTCACTGCTCTCCTATTGGCTATGTTTTCTTTTTGACTTGTAGGAAATTTCAGGCTGATATAGATGATATAATTCAAAAGCATTATAATTTGATGCAAATAGGTACCTACTTGTAATATAATTTCAAAATAAAACCCTGACACGGAACAGTGGAAAACCATGAAAACCAAAGAGGGCCTAAATGCGTCCTACAATATTTTGGGAACGACTGGCGATACGGCCCTCAGAGAAACAGTTTAAGAATTTACCATTTTTTATGAAGTTCATAATGATCCAAACCCTTCAAATCTACCTCAAACCTTCTCGGATATTCTGCGTCGTACTGTCCATTCTTAAACGGATATATTTGACTCAAGACCCAGATCAACTAAATTATGTGACATTGCGACTTGAAAGTAAAATTTTTATTCACTAATTATCATAGTCACATAATTTACAATTTTTATAAGCTTGAGTTACGATGTACCATTAGCTTCTGCTTTCAATACACATAGCAGAGAAGCCGCATATATTATGCAAGCTGATTACTTTGGAATATGATATGAGGTTAACGTGAATTCTATGATTAGTAAATTTTTGGTATAGTGACAAAGTTTTTATACTTCATCTAAATATATCTTTTTAATTGATGTATACCGGGTGTTTCAAATTTGGTAATTAACAAAATACAAGTTAAAACGTTTCGAAAGTACTTTCGACAAGAGACGGAAAAACAGAATTTTCCCAAAGTAGTTTTCATTTTTCTTGACCTTATTTGTAGTGGGATTTTAAAATAAATTGCACGTTAACGTAGTCATTTTTTCTCCTCTACAAGACGTGGCAATTAGAATTTCATCATGGCGTTTCATGATCTGTCCTCAATCATCAACTTTATTTTTTCTTATAGACGTCATATTGGATTTTTGCATCGATGACTTGAGTTTTTAATTCTGTCTTTGAGAATGTATAATATGTCATACATTGATCTTGTCAAACCTTAGTTACTTAAAAAAAACAGGATTTCCTAGGTAGGCCTTGAAATTAGAGAGATAGTAATTTTTTTATCGCACAATCATTTTAATTTTTCCCGACTTTATCCGAGATGGGATTTCAAAATAAACTGCATGTTGAATTTGCCACTTTCTCTCCCCTAAAAAAGGTGGCGTAGTTTCTTCTTTCGACTTTCACCACTAACTTTGTTTTTTGACATGGACGCCATGTTAGAATTTTGAACAATCAAATTAGCTTTTCAGTCCTAAGTTCAGTGATGTATTTCCTTTGATGGCCATGAATTTGGTGTTGGAATGAAAATTATCAGGAAATCAAAACGTATGGCGAAACCTCAACAGAAAAAAAATATTGATGGTAATAATAATCATAAATAAGCAGAGGGAAATCATGACAGATGTTGTCAGCTATTTCGTAGGCAAAGTCTGACTATTCTCTGTACATTGTTCACTGCTTGGTTTATTTTTCATCTTTCAATTTTCCAAACCCTGTTACTATGTTCAGTTTGAGGTCTGGTATACCAGATGAAATACTATTTGATAATTTCAAGTCCTGCCTAGGAAATTCTGTTTTTCTGAAATAAGGAATTTAAATCACCTGTTATTAAAATATATAAGTGGTAACAGATTACCAAGCGACTGAAATTTTTTTATAGCTATTCATATCAATGAAAAACTCCCGTGTAGTGTATTTATAATAAGGGTCATTGATACTTCACCCACAAAGAAATCGACTATAAGAAGTTCATACAGAAACTACTTCAAAAGCTGATAGTAGAGAAATTTGCTCACGAGGAATAATATAAAAATTTTAGAATTCGTGTATTGCAAGATAACTGAAATTCGTTTTTTAATTTAGATGGGTACATGTCGTCACCAGAAAGAAGTTCAAGGTACGAAGACCCTTACTACAGCCAATATGCTGCAAGATCCGGATCAATAACACCAGTTATCGATGAAGAAATTAGGTGAGAAGACACGTCTTTCCCAAAGTACTGTGTTTTTCAAAGATTAGCTATCTAGATCTGCCACCAGCGATTGTTAGAGGGAGGACTCAAGCGTTTTGTCTAAAAGATTGTGGATGTTGAATTTGTCTTTTTCGTATAAATTCAAAATAGCAAATATCAAAGGTATACATACTATGGTGCGCGTTTACACGTATACTCTATTTGTCTTCGTTTAGATGTGGACAATACGTAAACAATGTATTCAATGCATATACAAGGTAAACAATACGTATGCAATGGTGCAGACAATGCAGGATCATACAGGTGGGGTTAGGTTCAACTTCGAAAACAATATAGTTGGGTGCCCTCAAACATAAGAAAATCCATGAACTAAGATGCTGTATCTGAAACAAAGTTGTCTCTTTCAACATGCCGCTTGAGATCGCACACTTTTGTCATACGGCATAAATTAAATTAGAAAATAGAATTAGTAAGAAAGTATCAATTTTACTCCTTGCGAATGGCCAATCGAAATATTGTCGATGCTAACAACGCTGAATGAAATTAGTGAAATGGGTGGATTTTGTTTCCAGAATGTGTTTTATCTTACTTATCCATAATTCATTGTAAACTGTAACTTTGTATATACAAATAATAAATATTTATATCTATACCTTTTCAGATTATTCATAAATCACTTTTATAGTCCCTATATGCAAGTGACCTAATCGAACTAATATTTGCTATTGTATACATTGTCTACATTGTTTACATTGACTACATGATTATATATATACAGGGTGTTTCAGTTTATTGTTGCATAACTTTAAGATTCGATAGAACTTTCAAAACTAATGCATAAAGTCTATATAAACATGGGTCGAAAAATGCGTGGCTTCCGAAATACAGGGTGTTTAAATTTACTTTCTAAAATAGTTTTTTCAAATATTTCAAACAATATTTGATCTATAATAGTGAAAATTGGTATACAAGGGTTCTTTAGTACGACAAAACGAACCATGGGCATAGTTTTACTGTAGCCGCTAGAGTATCTGTAGTGTATTAAAATGACCGAAAATTTTTTCATAGTGGAATTTTTTGCTTTTTGAACGAAAAAACTGATTCTTCGCACTTTTCAACATAAAAAAGCTCTCTTGTGAGTTTTCGTTATAGTTGGCCGTTTTTGAGATATTTCGATTTTTAAGGTTCGATGCATTTTTTATTATTTATGGGAAAATAATATTTTTTTTTACATTTTCGATTTAGGCATTACAAGTAATTAAGATGATCGTTTAGATTGTGTTTTTAAACACAGCAATAATTCCTAACTCCAAATAAACACAAAAAACAGAATATTAATTTGTTTAATTTTCCAATATTATTTTTAACAAATTAAATTAATTATTTACAACTAAAATGCTATTGCATAGTTGGGACAAACATACAAAATCTAAAGTAGTTGCTCGAAATGTAAACCCAATTGTTCAATACACAATTTACATCTACGAATGATCGAACGTGGTATAGCATTATACAAATAAGGCCTTATTTCATCACATGCATTCCTGATTCTGTCTATTAGCATATCTCTTGTGGGAGTCTGGTACACTTTTTCTTTTAGAAATCCCCACACAAAGAAATTTAGGTCAGGGGATCGTGGAGGCCAGGCGACTGGTCCTCCACGGCCTATCCTTTCTGGATAATTTTCGTCCAGCCAGTTTCTAACTATTCTCGAATAATGAGCTGGACAACCATCAAGCTGGAACCAGGCCAATCTTCTTAAATCTAACATAACATCATCCCACATATTTGCATGTTCAGAATTTAAAAATTCCAAGAAGGTCGCAGCATTTAACCTTGCAGGCAAAAGGTAGGGTCCAAATAGTCGATTACGGTAGATACCAATCCACACGTTCACACTAAATTCATGCTGCAAATTTCTTTCCCGAACTGCATGCGGATTTCCATGCGACCAAATATGTTGATTATGAAAATTTACCACTCTACGTCTTGTGAAGCATGACTCATCCGTCGATAAAACGTTACTTAAAAACTCCCTATTATTATCAGTTCTATCAAGAATCCACTGACAGAATGTGATTCTTCATTCTCCGTCCCCTGGCTGTAGTCCTTGCACAGGTTGCAAATGGTAAGGACGTCTATGGTCATTTCTAAGAACACGGTGACCATGACTTGCTGAAATTCCCAAGGCACCAGAAACTCTCCTAACACTTGTGGTCGGATCTCTATCAAACTGGCGCAGAATCATACGGGTAAATCTGCGCTGACGAACATTTATGTTTTGATCCCTTTGGAGATTTCCAAGACCACTTTCAATTATTTGGCGATGAACTCTTACAAATACTGAGCGAGTTGGATGTCGTCTGTTTGGAAATCTTCGTGCGTATTCTCTGGGTGCTTCTGCTGCTTTTCCGTTTACAAAGCCATACACAAAATGAATATCCGCTAACTCTTGATTGGAGAATAAAAATGGCATTTTTATAAAACTTACAAAAATAAACGGTAGATACCAATCCACACGTTCACCCTAAATTCATGCTGAAAGTTTCTTTCCCGAACTGCATGCGGATTTTCATGCGACCAAATATGTTGTAAAAATTGCACTAAGAAAAATTATTCGGTCATTTTAATACACTACAGGTACAGTAGAGAGCGCCCTCTAGCGGCTACAGTAAAACCATGTCCATGGTTCGTTTTATCGTCCCAAAAAACCCTTGTATACCAATTTTCACTATTATACGTCAAATATTGTTCGAAATATTTAAAAAAAACTATTTTAGAAAGTAAATTTAAACACCCTGTATTTCAGAAGCCACGCATTTTTCGACCGGTTTTTATATAGACTTTATGCATTAATTTGAAAAGTTCTATCGAATCTTAATGTTATGCAACAATAAACTGAAACGCCCTGTATATATATATAGTCAAAACTCGTAATTGGTCAAATGGTCAAAGCCACTTTCATCTGCAAACATCAGTCAAAAATGGTTTTGACCGAAGCAGTTTATGACAAGTAAACATTATGCAAAATTTTCATTTGTTTGATGATAAAACAATTTCGGCACCAGTTTGATTTTTATTCAATATTTCCAGTGGTCTTGACTGGTTATAAGTGTTGACTGTAAGATACGTGCATCACTGCACATACACAGTATGTCTGAAAAGTTCCTGAACTGAATTTCTGTATTCGATACATACAAGCAGCGTGATCTCTCGAGCAGCCCCGGAACTGTGTAGCGCGTTGTCTAAAGTGTGTGTGTACCAAATTTCAACGCGTTTGGACACTCCAGTCTCGTGCTATATTTAGCCGTGTAAACTGTGTACATGTGGCCTTGTGCAAATCCACGACATGGAACAAAGAAGTGCGATAAAGTTTTGCGTTTGTCTTTAATTTTTTTTTCGACAACAATTGTACGATCCTCAAACAAAACGTCGATCTGCTGCTTGGTTGAGTCCAGGTGTGCAAAGGCCATCCGAAGTCAGGCAACAAAAGTCGAAAGAGAAAACAATGTTGATCGCATTTTTTGATTCAAAGGGCCTGATTCACCTTGAATTAGTTCCAACTGGGCAAACTGTGAATTCTACGTTCTACTTGGAGGGGCAGCTGGACTATGTTGCATGACAAATCACCGTCTTATGCCACCCGCCCTATTCACCTGATCTGGCACCGGCCGACTATTTTTTGGTCCCCAAGCTGAAACTGACGATGAAAGGACGATTTTTTGATGACATTTCGGCTATCCAGAAGGCTTGTACCGAGGAGCTGAAAGCGATCTCAGAAAATGAATTCTCCAGAGCAATCGAAGCACTCTACCGGCGCTGTAACGAGTGTATTACTAGAGAAGGTTCCTATGTAGGAGGCTGATGTCAATAAATTCGTTTATCTTTTAATTTGTATTTGTTATGAATTTAGTTCGGAACTTTTCAGACATACTGTGTATTTTAGTATCGGAGGATAAGCCATCCTGTAGTCAATATAACTTTACTATAGTACTGGTTAACGTATTCTACCTGGATATAATCAACCTAATGCTATATTGTTGCCTTCAAAATGTTATCCAAGATACAATGAGATACCGTACAGTATATTCAGATAAGAGATAGACCGGACATAAACAAGACCACGTGATCATCGAACGCTGTAACATTCGGCAGGGACGTATTAAGAGTCACGCAGTACATATTTTAGATAGTAGATGCTGCTTTGCGTAACTTTGTAGTAAATTAGCACAATTCGATGTGTATACGATTGGTGATGGATATAGGATCATGTCGGGGTGGGGTAAGAAATATATAATGATGTAAATATACATAAGGGTTTCAAAATTTTCGCTTCGATTTCCAGCTTCGGATGCCGCCTGATGTTTGGTGAAATACAGTCGAATATAATCTCAAAATGGCGTTTAAATTAGCCTAAATTAAAAATAATCGTATATCTCTTAAAATTGCTTTTAGAATATTGATTAGTATATTTTTTGATTTCTAGGTAAATATGTAACCAAATTAAAACGTTCAAAACGTAAAAAAATGTGCATGGTTGAACATTGTCAGAAAGTAGATTCTTGAATAGGTTTTGCCAAAATGGGTTCAAAAATGTCAATAATTAATTAAAAAATACAGTAGCTTTATAATTACTTATAACTAACCGAATTTGATGAACGACATCTTTTATTGGAAAGATGAGCTTGATGAGCTTTCATCATCGCTACTGCCTGAAGCACCAACGTCAATAATGAATGGCTCGACTTGTTCCTCTAAAATATTGTCCAGTTCCCACATTCTCTTTTCAACTGTGTTTTCCCATTTTTGCGCTGTTATTAATTCTAGTGCTTCTTTGAAAAGTCCTTTGAGGTCACAAAATTTAAAAGTTGTATTGTGCTCAGCTATATAATTTTTAACCTCTGCCCATATGAGCTCAATGGGATTGAGCTCGCAATGGTATGGAGGTAAACGGAGCACAGTTTTATTTTGACTTGCTGCCATTTCGTCAATGGCGTATTTTTGATATTCCGCCTTGTGATCATTGTCAATTCTTAATAATTGTACTTTCAGCATTGCTTCTTCAAAGTTGATATTTTTCGAGTGGAACTTTCCTTGAAGCCGTTGTTGGGACCTTCTCCATTCTTCGAGAATGATAAGGCGCATTATCCAACACAATTACTGCGTTTTCCTCTAAGTTCGGTAAAATTTTTGAAAACCACTGTTCAAACGATTCGCCATTCATTTCCTCGTGGTAATCTCCAGGTTTCTTAGACTTAAAGCACCACAGACCGTCAACAACAAATCCATCCTCACTGCCAATATGGCAGATAATGAGCCTTTTCCCTTTACCTGGAAATTTATTTCAATAAGCGAACCTTTTTCAAATGTTTTCATCACATTCAGCGAAAAAACATTGAGACATGAGTATCAGATTGCTATAATTGGGATTATTTAGTCATATTGAAAGAAAGAATATTGAACGTCGTATGATTACTCAGCGCTTCACAATTTAATTTAAAGTTATAAACCTTTAAAAAATGAATGATCAGGAACCTGAAATATGCGCAAATATTAGTATTAACAAATTATAACTTTATAAAGCTTAAAGTATGAATTAAAATGATTAGAAATATTAGGAACGGTACACAATATAAAACTTAGTAACTTTTTTTAAGTTTATAATATTCGACATATTTTAAGATTATATTAAAAAATTATTGAAATATCGAAAACACATAAAAACATGGCTTAAAAAAGTTCTAACAAATGAAAATGACAATAAAACATCCACGCATTTTATCGAAAGTTATAAAAGTTTTGTTACTTGTAATATGTTTTATCTGCCCCCTGGAATTAATGTTTAGAACCTTGTTCCCAAGGTTTGAAAAACATCCGATTGTTGTCTATTACTCGTATTTACCTGCTGGATTTTTTAATCCGGTGGACAGTCCATCTAGAAAGGCCCTCCTGGATGAAGTTACAGAATCATCAACCCATACTTTACTTGTAGTGTGTCCTGCGTTTACCCACGTTTCATCAAGGTAATAAATCTTCCTGTTTTGATTTCTATATTTCCCAATTTTTGATAAATAATCCCTCCTCCATAGCACAATTTCTTCTCTATCCAGTAGTAAACTATTACGACCCCGTTTTTTCCATTTGAAATTTAAATGCTTCAGTAACGCATAGAAAGTTGATCGTTTGAAATTTGGCAACGTTGTATCTCCATTTACCTCCTGCAGTACTTTATCTATAGTAGGTATTTCATTCCTAAAGAAGAATTCATGCACTTTCCTCCTAATCGCATGCTTATCAGCTTCATCCAATGATTTAACAATACTTTTGCGATGTTTACTGGTCATTGGCTCAGAAAAGGTGTGATTTTTTTTGTATTGTCTTAACACATTAAACACTGATGCGTGACACACCCCAACTTTGTGAGAAACCTTCACAACAATTTCTTTGATGGTTGATGCCTCGTTCTCCTCGCGCTCGATCTTATATATATTCAAAATGACCTCTTTCATTTCTGCACTCAGGTGTCTTTTTTTAGAGCGTTTTCTAGGTGGACTACAGGAGTTTACAACTTCATCGGCAGTATCTGTACTACTGGGCATTTTGCGCAAGCAGTTGATAACAATAACAATCAATAACAAGGTATAACAATAACAACGACAAACTCAACAACTTAATAAGATAACAAACGAAAACGTCCAAAGAAATATCAAATTGCAATGATGCACACGACATACGTAACACGTCTGAACCTGAATGTGACTGTGCCTTGATACGACTGCTCTGCTGCTCGGCATAGGCATTTAATTGCGAATTGACTAATGAGGGCTCCTGTTTTACGTCGAGACGGCGGCGTTAGCGTGAAAATCACCCGAGCCTATTGTTTACATCCGGTCTATCTCTTATCTGAATATACTGTAGTGTCGTCTATGGGAATTTATTACAGCTGCTTCTTTATTTACTATACATAGTGTTGCAAAGGTACTGGGATTACATTTTTGGGGGAAATGCTTCAAATCAAAGTTGTAGTAATTCTCGACTATCGGTCGTCGACCTTGATTTTGACCGTGAAGGTTTATTGAAGATCGACTTTAACATTTTCTATGTAAGCCCCTACTTCTGATTCCTTTAATGAATCGAGGAAAATTTTATTATCAAACATCGCCTTGAATGACCTTTATATTTGACCTTGAGTGATTCCTCAAGGTCAAATTACCACTAATGCTGGATGTCGATAACTCTTCGGAAATACATTTTAGGGGGAAATGATTCAAATAAAAGTCGTAGGATTTTTCCTCAGCTATCAGAGGGCGACATTGGATTTGATCTTGTCATTAACATTGGGGTCATCTTCAAGCCGACTTCAAAATTTTGAATATAAGCCCCTATTTTTGATCACCACAATGAAACGAGTGAAATTTTTAGGTTTATATATGACCTTGACTGATCCCTGGCAACTAAGGCAAGGATGATAGTCTCGGCCAACTAAGGCAAGGTTAAGGGCCCCGGCTGTGCTCGACCTTGAGGGATCACTGTACCATACTCTTATGTTGTTTGTTTCTTTACAGTTGATAGGTCTAGATTACTCAGCAATATATAGTTTAATTTTTTTATAATGATGTCTGGTAATTCAAGGTTTTTTTCCTTAAAACGTATTCCTGAAGAGTAGTCGATATTTAACGTTAGTTGTAGTTTGACTTTGAGGGATCACTCAAGGTTAGATATTAGGGTTATTCATTGAATGTAAAATTATATATAATAAATAGAGAAACAGCTGTGACAAATTCTGATAGATGACGCTACGGTATCTCATTTTATCTCGGATAATTTTTTGGACGCGGGAATATAGCATTAGGTTGACCACCTTCAGGTAGAATACGTCAACCAATGACGATAGTCAAGTGCTAAAATGGACGAGAATAGAATGAGGTAGCGTACGTAATAGTTAAGCATGTGGGCGCACCGACGTAGTTGTTGACATCAGTGGCGTACACTCTTCAGTTCTGGATTTGACAATATTTAAACCTAGTGTGTCTAATGTGCTAGCTTCGCTTACTAACATCTGTTTTTGCTTCCAACTATAGTGATACGGAACTTCTGGACGACTCGTACTCGTTGTACGGGATGAAACTACCTCCATCAGGAGGAGGGGTACCACCTAGGGTCGCACCTAGGTCGCCTTTCGCACCTCCTGCTGCTGTCCCACCTTATGATGCTACAAGGTAGGTCTCAATTTACAGAATTTCGCAGTGCTAATGTTTTTCTCCTGAAATAGTCTGGCATATGATTTAAATAGTCACAACTACGTTTTTTTTAGTCGATTATAAAAAAGTTGACTCTGTACTTCCCATGCAATGCTCTACGTTCGTAGAAGATTATGTTTGACACAAGTTAGTTCTTCTAAGAAAAATGTTAGCTACGAATAATGATTAATAAAAAATCAAATGACCTCTCTGTTCCCCCTGAGAGAAATTCCTGTGGGTGCACATGATCGTTGCTTTGAAGATATTGACTTTCACAGCACGGAAGCGACTGCCCTCTGCGACGCACGACGAAGTCGCCCGTATCTATACGCGACAGATATTTCTAAATTTTAAGGGGAGTGACATTTGCCTAATAGGTGCGTGGAATTACTGAGGTTGGAGGTGTATAGGTATTTCAACATCAAAAAATGGCGTCAAGTAGGTTGACTCTGCACTTCCTACGCAAGGTCGTTATCAGCTGATAAAAGATTATGTTCAGCACAAACTAGACCGTCTGAGAAAAAAATTAGCCACACAGGTGCATATAATGACTCCCTATACAGTCTTTCCTTGCCATGCCGGTAGCGCATCTGGAAACGTCGCCTGTCCCTGATCCTTAAGTAGGTCAGACGTGGCAGCGCGGTCAGAGCATGGGAAACACTATACTACGTGTGATCTTGTACAAGAATAACAAAACACTGACCAGAACCGGCGCCGTGTCGCCAGGAGCAGCAGCCGCGGCCGATGGTCTTCGGGGTTAGTATACTGAGAAATCTATTATGTGTGAAATATGTCTAATAGGTACATATAATTGCCAAGGTTGGGAGCGCATTTTTTTACCTCTGAAACGTTTTTTTCAAAAATGATCAAGACCCTATGAAACATCAAAAAACGACGTATAAGCGAATTCTATTTTTCTATTTTTTTAAGCCTGCCGCTACTGGACCGTTTTTCAAAAAGTATAAAGCTTTTTCGTCCTTGGCATAGTAGAAACCTTGTGTCGAATTGTCACCCAAAAAGCTGTACTCATCGAGTTATAGACCGGATTAGCGGACAATCACGCCGACAGACAGGGACATAGAGACCAAATAAACGAAACTTTTCGCAACCACAATACTTCCACGACAGTAGATGCCGGCAGTCTAATCACAATTTGGGGAAGCCACTTCCAATGTCACCACGTTCTTTTGAATGCAAGTACTTGAAGCATCCTATATTTATAGGATATTCTCAGAAATCTTGAATCAGTTTAATGTGTAATTAAACACATTTTATGTCCTCAAAGTTACTCATTGTTATTCTCTTTTCCAGATTACGGGTAGAAAATATGGAAAGGCAGCTAGCAAACTTAACAGGACTTGTACAAAAAGCTCTCACTCAGCCCGCTCCCGGACATCTGCAAGTGCCTGGGAGAGATTCTTACAGAGGTACTTAGTTTGTATTAGTCATCACAAATGCAGCATATACTCAAGACGGTTCACCAGAAGTATATTAGCCTGCATTTATTGAGCTGTTATTCATATGAAAATTGTCTTGTGAAAAACAATACTCATAAAGCGTTGTTACTTGATTGATACTTTGGTGTTTCGTTGTAAATTGCAAGCTTGATCTTTATCGAAATACAACAGCTCAAAGCACCATCTATTACAAGAATCGATAACTGCTATCGGTTGGAACTGTAAAGATCTGAGTTCACATTTGGTAGCACAGTTACCACTGTGACCGCTAGATTGCTGACAATTCTGGCGTATAGTAGATGTCGGACGGAAGCTGCACGTTAACCTGTTATTTACCTTTGACCGCAAATTAGTCCTCTACTCTAATCAATTATTCTTCTTGATACTGGTAAACTGTATTGATTTCGAATACTCGAATACATAATATTAATTGTAGGACTGTTAATAATATAGATAGCGAAATTCCAAAATAATCCTCAAAGTTACTATAGTGTCAAATGATATTGGATTAGCATTTAGTCACTTACTATTTCCGTAGCAGTTAGTCCCTGATAAATAGTGTAACATCCTCTTTGTTGCCAGATGACACATACCTGCGGTCAGACAGCAAAGCCCCAAAACTGGGCAAAACTGGCTGTCGTAAGTCCATTCAGTTTTATTTAGCATGATTTTCTCTATCGGCATGCTTCCTTACATCTATGTGTACACATATTTCAGTTTTAGAAAAGTCACAGTGATACATTTACATACATATACAGAACAACATAGTTACAGAACAAGGAGAAAAAGGTCATAAACATGTTTCAACCACTCAGTGCATGTATTTCTCCAAGCTGATAACGTCTTGAACTGTTTTCCAATCTAACTGTACCACATACTGAAAACTAGGATATTTTGAAATAAAAAGCTTAAAACTCTCCTTAGCATGAAACAGTTAAGCCATCAAAAATGTAAAAATATTCTGATATAAATGCATCTAATGCAGCATGTTTCTTGTTCCCTAACCTGAACTTTTTAGCGTTATATTTATATTGTACATTTTGTGTTATACGTAGATCATAAGGTACTGACGTAATATGAAAATTCGTATGTAATTGTCTATAAATGTCTCGTTTTGTAATAATTTAAAGGCGAATATATTTGTCTAAATTTTACAAACTTGGTACTGGTTTAGTCATGTTCATTATTCTAGTGTTATTATTTGAGATGTTAAACAAGCGGTTTTAGAATCGTTTTCACCACTATCATACTTTTCATCTGATCATTTAGAAGTCAATTTAAAGCTTTAAAATCGAGAAGGTAAGTTCGTCTTGGGTATGCTGTAACGTTTATTTAAACTTTCACATGAAAAAAACTGTGTCTTCCAATAACATATTTAACACCATGAAGAAGGTATGCAGCAGATGCAGCGTGTTGCAGAAGTAAACTACAAGGGTGGTCTGAAAAGTTTCCGACCTAACAAAGATACAAGACACTTTTTCTGAATTTCTTTTTCATTTTTCAACAACACGCTTCTCTCAGCGATGCTCCCATCTCTGTAACGAGTCCAACTAGTACTCGACGTTTTTCTCTGTAAAATAATTGCTCACGAATGTGATTGCCTCTTCATTTAACAAAAATCTTCCGAGCGCAATTTTAAGAAGTGGCTTGGAGATAGATCTGGTGAGTAAGGCGGATGATCAAGCAGTTCAAACCGTAATGTGCTATCTTCTAATTCTGCGGTCGTCTGCCACCATTTGGTGAACTTTGGCGATGTTTTTGTCGGTAGTCGCAGCTATTGGACGTCCCCAAAGTTCATCGTGTCCCAAGCTCTTACGGCCACGTTTAAATTCCGCTGCCCAAAATCACTGTGGTAAATGATGGTGCAAAGCCCCCATGCACAGAATCCAACTCGTCTTTGATTTGCGTAGGCGTATTGTCTTTCAAAAACAAATATTTAATACTGCTTGATACTAAAGTTTGTCCAGTTTCACAAAAACACTCACATCAACTCACTCAAACGACTGTTACATAACAGCTGCGCGTCCAAAATGGCTGAAACTTTGGCAAGTAGCTGTCAACAGATGAACAACGAAATTCACTATCTTTTATTTACGAGTGCTGCCATCTTCACTTCGAGGTCGGAAACTATTCAGACCATCCTCGTAATTGCAATAATAATCATAATTTTGGCAATACATCGAATCCTTCTCTAAAAAAGCACCTTCTTCGTGAGAAAACATACATAACTGCTTAGCTAGGCATAGCTGGGTAAAAAGAATCCATCAACTACTTTATTGGTCAATAATAATTATCTAAGCTTCAACGCTGAATATTTTCGTACTTCAATTTTTAACAACATTATGATTGCGATACGCAACTACTTCTGAAAGAAAAATGTGATAAGGTTCTGCTGAAACATGAACAGTTAGTAGGTACTGTAATAAAGAACAAGTCTACTTGTATCCCACAATCTAAGGCAGTGAGGTAGTTTCTGGATTTTTTCCTAACTGACACTTCTGCTGAACGATAATTTTACTGGTTGATAGCCCCACACGGTGTCAAATGCAGTCGATCAAAAAACCAAATTCAATAGAAACAATTGGCATACGAATTGGCATATCGATATACATACTTTATGTCCCAGTGACCTACGTATATTTGTATATTTTCGCATAAACTTTACAATGAAATTCTTTACGAAAATTGACATGAAATTCCGTACTTTCTAGACAAGTCTGTATCATTTGAGAAAAGTGTATCGTTCAGCGATGAGCCCCCAGATATGAATTCACCGAAGCAGCATAGCCCACAACATACAGGTAAGATGTTACATACTGAAACTATAATGTTGATACTTGCAACTGCTGCCTTACTACCTCCAAAATTCACCCGAATCTAGTACTTTTCCATTATAAGCATCTATCTGTAAGAATTCGAAATCTTTACTAACGTTTCGGTTGTTTTCAAGTGCATTAACCATTAAGAGATATTGTCGTAACTACTGGATACCAATTATTCAAAAACAGTTGAAGGCATAACATAAAAATTACGATATAATGTCATGTTAGTAGATATAATACAGCACAATAATGTTTCATTATTAAAAATGCATCTCACTCAACAAGCAACTATTTTTTTTGGAAGTAGACAGTAGTAGGTATCTTTATCGCATCATACACATTGATTCAGGACAGAAAATGACAACTGTGTTTTAGAAATTTATTCATAATATGTGTTGTATATTTAAGTTTGTGTGGGCATCCTTGAAAGAAACAATAATACGACATATGTACATATAAATATACATATATACACAGGCTGATCATTTGAAAACTTCTTACCACGGATTTATCGAAAACCACTGATTGAAAGAAAAAACGTCGCAACCGCCAAAAGATTTGTCAAGCGGGACAACTTTCTAACGATTCGATTTCAAGAAGATTAGAAAAATCTTTATTAATCTTAATTTGCTCAGATAGAAGACAGAAACATACGAAAATATCACTTTTTATTTGAACAAGTGTTTAAAATGTTGCCCGTTAGGGTTTGTCAAATCTACAGTTCGTTTATAATTTGAAACGGAAACTACCAACGCAAACAGCAATTCGGAAGATAAGACGTGGCAACAACCAAATAACAACCCGGATTTTGTTCCGCATTCTTTTCTTAAACACAGATATCCTGGGCGAACTGTATTTATTGTTATACCTGTTTACTTATTTGTTGCTAAGGGAAGGACAAAATTTAATTTGCTGTTAGTTACAGTCTTGTGATAGTGAACATTAATTTAATGATTCAGATTTTATTTCCAAAATGGTTTACACACTAGCTGAAAGAGTGGAAATGATTCTAATTTATGGTGCCCAAAATCAATGTGCTTGGCAAACTTAACTCCAGACATCCGGCGAAGATAACCTGGCATAGTTATGTTTTGTACCTTGTTACTAAATTTACTCAAACTGGATCTGTTGCAAATAAAAAACGTGACCATCGGAGGGTTTTGGATGAAGCCGCTTATGTTGAAGTTTTGGGTCATTTTAGAATAAATTCTAATACTTCATTACGCAAAATTGTTGCTGCGACTGGTGTTTAATTAGGCTCTGTACACGCAGTTACTAAACTCCATAAATTTCATCCATTCAAAATGTAAATATTGCAAGAGTTAACCGAAGATGATTTCGATATGCGAGTTGAGTTATGTGAACAAATGATCGCAGCGATTAATGATAATACCATTCATGTGAAGAATATCTGCTTTTGCTGCATGCTTTTGTAGGACGGCATACCCAGTATCCCCAAAAAATTATTGTATGGGCAGGCATTTTAGGAAAAAAGTGATTGGGCCTTTGTTTATTAATGGAAATTTGAATGGATATTTGGATATGTTGCAAAATACCATCAATCCGCTTATCACTGAAACCATTGAAAATCAACACGAAGAGGCTGAAATATATTTCCAGCAAGACGACGCTCCCCCTCTCTATGTTCTTCCGGTTCGGCAATGGCTAGACGACCAGTTTCCAGTTAAATGGATAGGGCAAAGAGGGCATATATAATGACCTGCTAGATCTCCTGATTTGATGCCATTAGACTTTTTTCTATCGGGCTATTTGAAATATTTAGTATTTACTCCCCAACCTGAAAGTTTGGATGAATTTTGTCTACGCATCATCGAAAGCTGCCATGATATCCCACAACATATTTTTGAAAATGTCCGTCAGAAATTCGAACATCGCCTATATCATTGTTTGTCCAGTAACGGGAAACATTTTGGACACTTATTGAAATAATACGTGATGTTTTCTTGTGTTATCGTTTTCTATTTGAACAAATAAAGATTTTTCTAGTTTTCTTAAAAGCGAATCGACCGACTTAAAAAATCAAATGTCAAAATAAAGGACTTTGAAAGACCCTTCAAACAAGCTATTACTCGATACCCCTTATCATTCAAAACTTTTAAGTGGATGACCCTGGGGGACAGAGGCTGAAAGGAGGTGAAGTAGCTTTTAGCTAAAGAGTTGTCCCCCTCGACAAATCTTTTGACGTGTCTCGGCGTTTTTTTTAATCAGTGGTCTTCGATAAAGCCGTGGTGGGAAGTTTTCAAATGAATACCTTGTATATCGTCTCTGTTTTGATAGTTAAAAATGTGTATAGAGATGAAAACGGTATTTGTGGTAGGCCTAATAGGTATAATGGTGCTTGGTCAGAAATTAGTGGCTTCATATGTAACGCTAACAATTTCATCATTTCTTAAAATTGTTTGGTACCTATGTATTAATGAACTGTATTACGTCATTAGGTGGACCATTCTCAGAAAGTGACACCGTTCTAGATATGTGGAATTCGTTACGTATGCGTGCCTTCAAAAAAATGAGAACACTAACGCAGATTCATATAATAACTACTCATATATTAAATTTTATTATTATGATGAGTGACTTAACCAAGCTTCAAAATTAATACTGAAAATTTCTTATAGTCAAGTTGGGCAGTATCTGTTTTTCATTATGAGGATATGCCTTTTGTTGGTGCTAGTCATTGTACTATGAAGTTGTTCCGTTCTACTTTTTCATTGCCGAAACCTTAAAATCTCTCGTCGAACCTTTAGCTGATGCTATAGAAAGATAACAATAATTATATTTCCATTAATACTGTTTGGGTAGGACCATTTACTCAAAACCTTTATAAAGTTGAAGAATGCTTCACCCATATGTATCACAACTGCATGATTTTTTAATTTTGTATAACTAACATATGTATTTTTGGATGTTTTTGCTTGCGATCAGCGGACACAAAGCCTGCCAAACCCGCCATTAAGTCATCCACGTTACCCAGGACTTCGTCTCAGGGTAAGTTCTTTTTCATTTTCCACTTCGCTATGCTTCTAACACTAGCATTCATCATCATTATTATAATATGTGTATATTATTTAGATTTGTAGCATCGATTAACATATTTCACATGAAGATAGCCAACCATTTCGTCTTCAAAAAAATTAGCCGAGGTGGAATGAGATATCCTGGCATATATGTTTAATTATTTTGGGAGAGTACAAACATAGCTGTGACAATTTCTCGCCAGGTAATCTAGGATAATTTTTAAAAGCCGAAATGTAGTACATGCTTGGCTATCTTCTTTGATTAATTTTTGTAGATAGAGTTTGGTGATAGTTTATTAAGTGTCTAGGGTTATTAAGCGGATGGTTATAGCCTGTAGCGTGAGATGACAGCCCTTGGCCGGTAACTAAACGTTTCGGGCACCACTGCAGATTTTGGTAATGGGCACTCATGTATCTAGGACCTTAAGATGACGTTATTTATAAATCTAGACCGTCAATCGCTTTCTTTGCTCTAACACTTCAGTTGCATCGCTTCTCCCAAGATCAAAAAACTTTTGCCGTGAAGTTAAGCAATCTCCCACTTTTGTTAGAAGATTCCTTTTTTGGAATTACTGTAGTTGCATTAAATAGTTGTATTTCGTATTGGTAAAACAAAGATTCTTCCCCTTATATAAATTGAGGGCTACTGAACGTCCAGGAGTTCCAACCATATAAATCAATTGAGCGTGTTTTGGCAACGCACTTGCAGCGCCATCTGTTGGACAGTAGCTGAAACAGAATAGCTCTTTACCCTAGCTTGTAGAGAAAAGCATCTTCGCTACCATTAACTGTAAGGATTTTTTCGCGAGTCCACGGTGTAGCACAGTGCACTACCGGGAACCGATACTCAAATTTTCGCGAAGAACGGGAATAGGGGAAGACGGATGTGATGTCGTCCGAATGTCAAAAAATCACGTGGTACGGGTACTCGCCTAACGTCTGTGAGGTACTAGCGGGTGACAGGTCTTATGTCAATTTTATTTAAAAAACAGGCATCTAAATTGAAAATTTGTCTTCGCAGTGCCGAAAATTGAGTTAAATTCAGCGGCGGCTCGTGGTCTATGATACAGGGGGTTCACAAGTGGTATAAAATATTTTTTTTTGCCACCACCCAAATTTTTATGTAATGCGTGACGTAGAAGGCAATAAGAGTACTAAAACAAGCATCAAGGACACATTTTTTGTTATTTTTTTTTTATACACAAGAAAATACATTTATAAAAAATACAATTTTTTTAATGAGTACAGTGTTTAAACGTAAAGTCCATTCTCCAGATTTTATTTGCAGAAAATTTATCAATAACTAACTCGTTAAAGTTTGGAATACCCGCTATACATTTTTTCTCGATAGATAGCATTGCTAGCGCTGACAGTCTTTCTTCATTCATAGAACTTCGCAAAAATGTTTTTATTCTCTTCAATGTCGAAAAGCATCTTTCACTTTCGGCCGTAGTCGTTGGTATGGTAACAATTATTTGTAAAAGTGTAAAGGTGGCAGAAAATATGCTCTGAAGATTATTTTCTATAAAAAACTGTAACAAACTAATGGCACCAGTCATATTCCTGAAATCAGGTCGCCGGTAAATTAATTCCAATTCAGTCTGGAGACGAACTTTATCTAAAAACGAATATGCTTCTACTACAGTTTCCAAATATTGCAATGGAAAATGCTTTTCAAATTGTGGAAATTTATCAGAAGAAAGAAGAATAGCTGCATTTAAATGTTTTGTAAAAGAAAATCTATCTGTTACATGTGTAATTATGGTATCACAAACTTCCTTGGCTGCAACAGCTCTGCAAATATGCTGGTCTTCATTTGCACGACGCTTTTTAGTTTGAGTAGTAGTGGTATCTCCAGAAATTTCAGTTTCAATTGTTTCCAAGCAGTCTCTCTCTTTTTGGATGCAGTTTTCAAAACACTTTATGGCAGTCTGAATTTGCACTGGGTCAGTCACTGTTTTTTGTAACTGATTATATAAAATAGCAGCATGTAGCAATATTCGATGAAATACAGTTAGACAGAACAAAAACTTAGAATCTTGTAGCATACGGCCAATACCAGTGGCTTGATTGATGGTACCAGTTTGTTTTGAAGTAGCTTCTATTTTTTCCATGCATTCTATTAACAATTCGCGATATTCATATATTGTATTTATAGATCTGCTTTTAAAATTCCATCTTGTGACAGAAGAGCTAGGAACTCTTGCACCAACAATGTCATCCAAAACTGCAACTCGTTGTGGAGAATGAGAAAAAAAAGTTGAAATATCGCTTAAATTTGAAAAAAATACCCGTACTTCTTGATTTTGGCTTGTAGCTTGCAATAAAATCAAATTTAGCTGGTGGGCATAACAATGAACGAAATAAGCATAAATATAATCATGTTGAATAAGAGCTTGAACACCTCCACGACGTCCACTCGTTACACTAGCGCCGTCATAACTTTGAGCTATCAGTTTCCCTGGTTTATCTAGCACTTGTATTAAATTAGTTTTCACACATTCTGAGAGACTAACTGCATCGTGGTCAGGGGGGGTAACAAAATTCCAAAAACGTTCAACTGGCCTTCCATCTGGTAGAATGTACCTAAATACTGTAGTCATTTGATAACAATTAGCTACATCCGTTGTTTCGTCAGCCATAACAGCAACAAATTCAGCTTCCAAAATTTCTTTTCTTATATTTTCCTGAGCCACTTGTAACATGCAATCTAACAATTCGTTTTGAATGATTTTTGATACCCCTTTGAATACTGTCGATTTTTCAAAATGATCTTTAAGTGCTATATCTAATTCGGCAGTGAAATTTATTAAACCTCTAAAAATACCAGAATTTGATGAACCATCTTTTTCGTCGTGACCGCGGAGGGCTAATTCAAAAGCTCCGCAAAATTTTATGCAATCAATAATTTTTGTAAGCACATACCTATTCTTTCTAACTTGTTCATTTTGCTGTTGAATACTGCGCCTATATGCACTGTCCAACTGCTGCCGTATATCTACTTTTCCCAAAAGCTGCATTTCCAGTTGCGCATTGATATGGACTTGAGTGTTTTAATGTTTCTTAATTTTTTGTGCTAAATGTCCCAAGTCGGCTATTCCATTTTTTGTCCAGGCAGGCTCTGCAACCCCGTGAGCAAACAACAAACAGGAAAAACAAAACAAACGGTTTGTTGTGCTGCATCCACAAATCCAGTTATTCTTTTCATATATTTCCATTTTAAACTTTCTAATAAAGTCTCTAGATTTACCCTTTGTGGTATGAGTTAAGTTAATTTCTGGTGTAGGTCTTCCCGCATTTTTTATTTCAATTTTTTGCTCCAAACTCAATGAACTGAAGTTATGTTTCAAATATTCCACAGTGAAACCATTCATTTTAACTCAATATTTTATTAAAACACTGCTACGAACATAAAAATTCGAACACACCTCCGATTACTGCATAAAATGAACGCGCAACGGACAATGGCGCACTCCAGAAGTGTGCGCCTTCTCCAACTAAAATTGCCATAACCCCGCTATACTCCGCAACCAGAACAGCAGGGTGAGAAACACACAAATCCCGCGTACATGATCGCATAATGCGACTATTCGTCGTCATCCGCCGTCACCCGTCGGCGGCAGTCGGACCGGGCCAGACCGAATCACAAGTCGGAATCGCCCGAATCAGGCAGCGCAGCGGTAAGAGTGGTGACTCATGAGTGGAGAGCTACTAGATCTTTGATTTTATACGATTAAATATCAGGGACGCTCAGACTTTATTTGAAAAATTATTAAATGGATGTTATACATATTTATTATTAATTATTTTGGGGGTGCACGTGCTCATGTGCTCCTACAGTGGAACCGCCACTGGTTAAATTATTAAGTCATAAATGGAGGAACACGTTCACCTGATTTTAAACGACGAGGGAGGAGGTTATCGAAGATATATGAACCACACTTGTCATATCAAATGATTGGTTTTATTGATATGTATGTACATTGCACACAAAACGTACGGTATTTTTATATTATTTAGATTCAAACAAGGCAGCTAAAGTTTATCAATTAGCTTAAAGCAAACATTTTGGCCAACATGCACCATCTAACCACTCTCGGTGTAACTTGAAACTGTCAAAACTTCGAGAGGAAGGGGAAATTCCATCTGTTCCCGCTCCCGTTTCACTACGGGATCTCGCGAAAAAATCTCTTATATTTAACCAATGATTGTTTACGTTTACAGTTAAAAGAAATCATCGCAATCCCACTGTTGGTGGAAATTTCGTTCATAGGGGAAGCCACACTGTGGTAGCAACAAAAGCAGGCTACCATGCTGATCCGAATTTCATCTGCGATCGGCTAAAATAAAAAAATTAAGGTGCTTTCGATTAAAAATAAAAATTTAGATAATTGACCGTACTATTTTTTCATCGGTAACTGCATCATCATCTAGAAACTAAGGTCAGTTTTCGTGGTCACCATATTGTGTTCAACATAAGTTACTTAATACGTCGCAGGCGTAAAGTTGTCACGGCTTTGGGGTGTAAAGAACCCCGTGGCCTAAAAAGTATTATTTAATGCCAGAAAAGCTTATCCATTAAGTAAACCGTTTCGCCTGGTCGCATATAAACAGGTTGACGATAAAGTTGAAAATTTGAGCGGCATAATAGCCCTGTCACTGTTTGCGATCATATTGACACAAGCCATAGAGTTGAATATCTACATACTAAAAGTTATTCAGGGTCCCTACTCTTGGGTAAATCGAATTACCCAGTGGAAATGCCTGTATCAATAAATAGAGCAAAGAGCAGGTAGGAATTTATATTGATGATGCTATTAAGTATAGTGGAATACCCTGACTGCAGGAAGTATCTGACTACTTACATCTTTTTACATACGCGCACGGGTCAATTATCCCGGACGGCAGTTTCATGAAGCGCCAAATTTTGAATACGAGTTAAAAAGACAAAAGTCGACATGGTCATAACTTAGCGAAATATTTATACACCAAACATGCGGTGTTTCGGGATGACTCAATGCAACGACGACTATCATACGCCAAACTCTGCCTTGCGCCTGTCAGCAACGCCGACCGGCATTTTATAGTATACTCCAACTACCACGAAGGCCGAAGGCCTAGACACCCATTGGGTACCGTAGGGCTACAGGGGGATACAGGGGAAAGGGGGAACGCCACACTGACTCTGGCGAGGGAACACGTGTGCTATGACGTGTTTGACTGGAGTGGTCCAGCAGCGTTGTCAGATGAACCATACTTAGGGCAGGGAAGAAACTTACGTTAACGTCATCAAATGAATCGGGAGTACGATGTATGCACTAATTATATATGGGTCTGTTTGACCCATTTAATTTTTTGTTATATATGTTTGTCTAGCTCAAAAATACCAACTTGTGCTGAACATAATCCTGTATGAACCGATGACAGCGTTGCGTGGAAAGTGCAGAGTCAACGTACTTGACAACATTTTTTTCTTTTATTTATGTCAAACCTTAGTTATTTCGGAAAATCTGACATTTTCATAATGGCAATTTGTCACATGTTTAACCGTTGAAATCATCAATGTTTGAATTTCTATGAAGCGTGCTTAAAGGACATTTCGATGACTTGCCCATTCATCCACTATAACAAGTGTTTCTTTAGAACGATCTACATACCATCTGATTCCTAGATTAATAGTGTTTTATTTCAAAATATTTGCATTTCTTTAGATATGAGAGATACGAAATGCCTTTAGGAAGCTCCAACATCGCTGCGGCTTTACAATTCATATGTCTATAAGTTACATTAAATACTTTAGGCAGTAACGACCACGCAAGTCTGCGTTCTTTATTCGATGTCTCAAAACCAACTAATCATATATTTGAATTATATATATTCATAATACCAATCCATGAAGTAATATGTACAACATCAGATCAATAAAATCGGAAATAGAGATTATTCACTTAAGCGTAGTGTATAGAACTAAAGAAATGCTGGGCTGATGATGTTATGAAACAAATTACTTATAATTTCAAGGCGTAGCTAGGACATTTAGTTTTTTACAATAGCTAAGGCTTGACAATGTCAATATATACATTTTTGGAATCAGAATCAAAAAATTTATTCGTCTATGCAAAAATCCAATATGGCGTCTATAAGAAAAAGATAAAGTTGATGACTGAGAATGACAAACGAGACCCCATATCGAAATTTTAATTATGCCACCTTGTGTATGAAAAGACGTAGAATTGTTAATTTATTTTTTATTTCGAAATCCTATCTTAGAGTAACGAAAAAATAAAATCATTTTCAGGAAAATTCAGTTACTTCCAGGTAGCTCGGAATTACTCTGGATTACGAAGCTTTCAGAGAGTTATTTTCTTAGTTAGCTAAGTACGCAACCTTTTTCTTATTTAACCGATCTCATATTTCTCACCGTTTACGAGATCTCAATGGTGAGAGTCGTATTTGGAACACTCGGTATAAGCCAAGCCAAAGAAACTTTATGAGGCATGCACATTTATTACGATATTCTTATTAGTGAAATCGCACATTATACCTATCGTAGTGGAAATAAACGGTTCACAAAATATCTTCCTCGGGTCATAAAAAATGCTACTCATTATATTTGTCAGTTAACACAGACTTTCATAAACGTTGAAGGAACAGGGAGCCACCGCTGTGTTTTATTCCGAAGCTCAACTCTTCTCATAGAACCTCATGGTCATGTACATGTTTCCTTATACAGTGCTGGCCAAAGTCGTTTCCGGTTTTAGATTTCTCTTGTGTTCAGACAGAGAAGCATGTTAGAAAGAGTGCGCTATATAAGCGTTGTCACAACGTTGCCTGACAACGACAGTGGGGGAGAACTTACAGGCGCGCACCGCGCCCTCTCCCACAATGGTTGCCATTCAACGTGGTGACGATGCTTATATGGCGTTTTCTTTCTAACACCCTTCTCTCTCTCTCTCTCTCTCTCTCTCTCTCTCTCTCTCTCTCTCGTACACATGGAAGTCTAAAAGAGAAAACGGCCTTTGTTAGCACTGTATGATACAGCATTTTGGTGGGCCAGGGCCAGCCTTTGGCGAATTGTGGTTGACTACTAATGTGATTTGACACCCCATTCGCTTGCTCTTCATTTGCAACAAGGATACTTGCTCTCAAAAGCTGATGTCGCCAACCCCCCCACTCCGGCTTCTCAATTTTCAATTACCGTATATTCGCTCCTCCGATACGGGCATCCTACGTGAATTATGAGCCTCCTGCTTCCAGCACTCAGAACATTTTTTGGATAAACTAGAAGGCGCCACTAGCAAGCTTATGCTCCAGTTCGAGAAAATCGCATTTCCGGGGCTGGAAGAGATAGTTCGTTGAGGAGAAACCGCTAGAAATGTGTTAGTCCCAGTGAGCGCTGAAGTGACTACAGATCCCGTGAAATAGGTTAGTTAGGTTAATTAAAGTGTCACAAAGAGTTGGAGAAGCTGACTCGTTAAAAGCCCCGTAGCGCGCAATATATTTAGCGATAGTTTTAACCTCGATTCAACTTTGAAATGGATTATCGCCCTACAGGACAAAGTACTTTTAACTAGATTACTCCTGTGGAATAGCTACTCTAAATTTGAGAACGAGTGTAAACTTGTTCGGCTAACTTTCGTATATGAATCTAAGCATGAGGCAGATTGACCCAGATACAGGATGTCCCATTTGTAGACTTTCCTTGGGGATTGAGGTCCGCTGGAGGAGTGATCTCCACTTGGATTTTAAGCAAACCATAACGTCTCATTGAGGAATGCCCAGGAATAGATTTGATATTTGCATTGCATAGTAGGCGAAGCTCCTAGCGTCAAGTAGGTTGGCTCTGCACTTCCCTAGCAACGCTGTCATCAGAGAAAACCGTTGCGAACATGTAAAAACAATAAAATTAATGGACCATGTCATTCAAACAGGCTCATGCATTTGAAATCTGCATGTTTAGCATGTTTTTGAGTATAATTTTGGCGACTTCTAGCATTTGGCTCTGCCTGAAAAAATTTGTTACCCCGCTCCATTAAATAGCTTTGGAGGCAGGTTCACTTTTACAAAATGCTATCTCTTGCCGATGAATACTCACCCACCCAGGTGCACGAGAATGTTGCTAAAGCTAATCTCACATAGTTAACGATTCACAGCAGAACCGCAGCACTACCGTCTGCGGAACACAGACACTCATCTGTCGGAACACGACACGTGTATCATATCCAGAGGCGCGTATGTTGAAAACATTTCTTATTCTAGGTTTTAAGGGCAAATGTACCGGGAAATAGTAGATGCTTAATATCGCCGGGGTTGGAAGCATATACGTTAATTTGTTTATAATAACATCAAGCAATTGAGATATAGCCTCGCCAATCACAAGTTTCAATAACTACAAAAACTTTTTAAAAATAATCAGAAGCCTCTGAAGAGAGATGATTTTTCGTGATGTCATATATTATCCAAAAAATGATATATCAATTTTCTGAATTTTTGTATGTGGCATGGGAAGTAAAATGGTCTAATTTATAGCAAAATGATGGCATCTTTAAAAAGTCCAGACATCAGAGACTTTCCCCATGTAACTATTCTAATGTAACGCAGTACTTTTTGCGTTCATGTAGCAAAGAACATAATTAAAAAAAAAATGGCGTCGAGTAAGTTGAATCTGTACTTTCCACACTACGCTGTTATCAGTTTGTCAAGGATTATGTTATTGGCACAAGTTAGCCATTCTGGGAAAAAGGTTAGCTATAATGCCCAACCCCGCGTGAATGACGATATTGGGATTCATCATGTACAATGCACAAAGCCTAGCCCACAGCACCACAATAATCCGTATGCGATTGCCGACTGTGACATACGACCACCGACGATGACGCTTGTCCATCCCGAGAACCACGTCACATGTATGCACACCCGACTGCTGGAGATATTTCTATGTTTCATGGGTAATTGTACGGTGACATCTATGATGAGTGAAATATGCCTCATATGAGCCTGTGGCTGGAGGCGTATAAATATACCAGCGTCAAAAAATTGAGATATACCCTCCCCCTCCCCCTGAAACCCTTAGCCCCTAAATTATAAACCCTATATTTTTCCGAAAATGGTCATGATCAAGTTTGAACGCTTTGTGTTTTTTTCTATTTTTGACCTTTTTTGCCGCCGCCACTGGACCAATATTTCTCAAGTTATAGCGGTTATATGATTCTAAGACTATCTGACAGACTGACAGACAGACCGACGGAAATGAGTTACATGGCTCCGCATAATGTGCATGTCACATTTCATCCAAAGAACATATACAGGTACTTGTATCATTTTTAAAAATTTCCGCGATTGCCAGTAAGCGTTGGAAGTAAAATACGAAAATAAAACTTTACGCTAATAATTAAATACATTTCAACAATCATCTTTAGACATGTTTATAAACATTGAATCTCTATTTTTTCAGAGCGGGACGGTAGACTCAAACCAGCTCCATCAAAGCCCATGCCTCTGAACCATTCGGGGAGCTACGATGGCTCAGCAGGGCCTTACAGAGACCTGCAACTGACTGCGGAGACTTACAACCAGTTGAGGTGCTTGCAGAAGAAGGCCAAAGAACTACGAGCAGAAGCCAGGAACCTACGGAGGATGTCCCAGGCACAGGCTCATTCTGTCAAAGAGACTGTTAGGGACGCTTTTATCAAGATCAGGGCAGTGTTGATGGCTGGCGGGGAGCAACTTTGGGAAACGGGTGAGCTGACCTACATGAAATTTGTGGAATATCATTTTATTAAAGGGTCAAATGTCTTAAATTCAATAAGCAAGTCTTGTTAACAGATCAACTAAAAGTAGGATCTTCGACAAATCAAATCTGCTTCTCTAATGAGCTCCTTTCAAACCGACGTCAGCGGGCTGATTTCTTTCTACCGCTATGCCAACGGACTTTGCTCCTCAGAGCCCTCCTTCATGCTGCCGACGCGTGTTGAGCCTACTAGACGGACTCCATCCTAATTCTGATCAAGTTAGCTCAGCTAGAATTGACCTGTACGACCATTTCCTACCTGAGGAGGCTTTTCTCAGTTCTAGTAACAAAATCGAATTAACAAGATGTTTTTTAGGTCTTTATAGCAGTTACGGTCCCGCGGTATTTAGGTTTCTGCCCACTTGGCCACATGGCTTACTCGTATAAGAAGACAATTTTCAATTTCCAACAATCTTTTAGTGGATCTATGGATTTTAAGCGATGAGATTCAAGCAATTCCAAGGAGACCCAAAGACAGTTGAGTGTAGGAGGTCTTTCGTTTCTGAGTAGTGTTCCTCGGACCGACCTATGTGAAGTTTTAAGAGCATCTTAAATCACAGTATCCTACTTTCCTGTTTTTCTTCCTCATCATAATCCGTTTGGAGGGAGTTTCCAAAAACAATTAAAACTCCCTCAGAACTTTATTGCGTTAGGATTACTGGCAAACTTTTGTTCGTGTATGTGAAGACAGATTTTCCTCGGCCTCCCATGATTGGAAATAAGTTTGCGTGCTGCGCTCAAATGTTTTCGTTTAATAGCGGCAACTTAGATTTAAGCGATAAATTCTATTGAAGATCTTCCATTTGAGTTGTTATAAATGTCGTGTAAACTGGTGTCCTACATCTATTAAGGTCACTCGATCCTCTTGAAGGTTTTAGAAAAGACAAATGGGAATGATAATAGATCAAAATTGAACAGAGTTGATTGAAGAAACCCAGAACTTCTGCGAACATTTTGTTCAAGTTCAAGAGTTTCGTAGGTAATTATCTAGGCGTCATTAGCATTCAGGACCTAACATTTTAGATCTAGAAAATGGATCTACAAGAACTTTTAATTAGAAAAATATAATCCGATGGAGTTCTTATTTTCAAGTTCGAATCGCCTGTGAAATTCCATGTACAGTGTGCGTAAGTCATTCTTAATGTATCGGATTGTTTTGTGGTACAGGTATGGATCAAGAAAGGGTACGACTATCTAGAGAAGAAGATTTGTACAAACAAGAGATGATGCGGTTAGAAAAGGATCTGAGTGACCTTGAATCAACGGTAGAAGAACTCAGGGGAAACGTGATCAACAGAAAGACTAGAGTTAACATGTCCGATGTGGAAAATATGGCGTTGATACTCAGCAAGAGTTCGAAGACTGTGGCTGATCTAAAACTCAGGTTTGTCTACGATAGTCAACATAAAACATAATCCATTCAGATATTTTACCATCATCATATCCAATTTGACAATCTGAACATGCCTAGAGATATGGTGTGATGCATTAACGCTTTTCACCTCCTAAGCAGTGATCGGCGCTTTATATACATCGGGTAAAATACACCATTTTATAGGCGTATACAATTGTATCTTTATACATATACTAAGTGACATATAAATCCGAACACCCAGTTTAAATGGTTTTATTTTAATAAAATTTTGTATAAGTACTTAATGAAGCATAATAAGTAAATGATAAAAATTTCAAAATGATTGCACTGCTTTAAAGCCCTTTGACCTTTAATAATGTGTGGATGCACCCTGATGTGCTACGCATCCTCCAACGCGCCTAGGCATGCTTGTGATCAGGTGATCAATGTCCTCCTGTGGTATCTCACTCCAGGCAACCACCAACTCCTCTCGAAGTGCTTCTAGAGTCTGAGGAGGATGTTGCAAATTGAGCAATCTCCTACTCATCATATCCCACACGTGCTCAATTGGGGATAAGTCGGGAGATCTTGGTGGCCATGGTAACAATGTGACATCATTATGTTGAAAGAAGTCTATTGTGACTCTTGCAACATGTGGTCGGGCATTATCTTGTTGGAAAGTTGGATCTGCCAGGGTGTCAAGATAGGGTAAAAGATGGGGTTCTAGAACTTCGTGGATATAACTCTGCGCGTTCTTGTTACCTCTGATGAAGATTAAAGGTGACCTGGAACCATAAGCTATAGCACCCCAAACCATAACTCCAACAGTGTGATGCACATGCCTTTCAACAAAAAACTGTGGATTCCTCCTTTCACCACGTCGCCTTCTGACCCTGGCACGACCATCGTGCATGCCTAAACAAAATCGAGACTCGTCACTAAAGACAATACTGTTCCATTCCTGATCCCAGAGTGACCGTTGTCTACACCACTCAAGGCGATTACGTCGGTGTTCTCGAGTTAAAGGGAGGACCCAGTGTGGCCGGTATGAAAACAAGCCAAAACTTCTCATTCGTCGGTAAACACTTCGCATTCCAATAGGTCTTCCGTGTTCTGCAAACCATTCATTTGCAATGGACCTGGTAGTGGAGAAACGGTCCCTTAAGGCCAATAATCTTAGGCGGCGATCTTCACGGTCTGTTGTTCTACGGCGGCGTTCAGTGCCCCTTGCTCTTTGCGTACGGCCTTCTCGAAGCCATGCCTGACAACACCTCACCACAGTGTCTACACTTCTTTGCACTCTAACTGCAATTGCCTGAAAAGAAGGTCCAGCTTCCCGAAGTCCCACTATACAGCCCCTATCAAACTCACTAAGTTGACGAAATCGTACAGGTCTCCGTACTCTAGGCATCGTAACCAATCGTAAAGGATGTCAAGAACCAAAATCCGCCAACGTTGATTCTTTACTGCGGCTGAAATATTCATTTTTAGAGCGTTAGTGAATTAAAAAAAAGCAGTATAAAAACCGGAATGTCCAACTGATAAGGCTGAAAATTTTTTCACTTGTTATTTACAGTAAGATAAATACATTCACCAACTTTTATTAAAATAAAACCATTTAAACTGGGTGTTCGGATTTATATGTCACTTAGTATATAAACAACTTAGACACTGTATACAATAACAACTAATATTTCGATTAGGCAAATAGGTAAGTATGCAACACCGATATAAGTGAATTTTGAATAATTAGAAAGGACATACATACAGGGTCCGTCAGAAAGAACGCATGTTTTTTAAATGACTAGTACAGTCAAAATAAGTATGGGAAAAATATTTTATTATATCAAAATACTCAGGAATACATGCCATTTTTTTGACGCTGCGTCATCTCATTTTATTCCGACCATTTATCGGACGCGGAAATATAGCATTAAGTTGCCTATCTTCAGATAGGCTTCGTTATTCAATAAATATTGATAATAAATGTATAAGTTTTTCATACCATTAAATGTTTAATTACAAATTTTAATTCGTCTTTAGAGATGAGACTGATGGATGGCGGCGAGGCTCCTGTGCTATTCAGCAGAAAATGACACGGGGAGCGGCTATATTATGAATAAAGCGTTAAAAAATGCAGTATCAGAACATTGTTCTTCTGCTTCCTTGTTTTCAAGAATTGATCCTCTGACTTTCATAGAGAATGCGTTAAATCCTCATTTGCTATTAGCCTCCTTATATCAAAGGACGTCTCATGAGAATTACGCATGTGCTCCATTTTCCCATATTGCTGAGGCTTCCCAGTAAAACAAAATTTCTACGGCTCAACTATACGATGGAAAACATCCCTCTAGTCTACATTAGTAAAAACCATTTTTTCGCATTCAGGGATGCATGTTGCCCAACTAAAGCTACTCCGAGCCCAGAATTTCCATTAGGAAGAAACGGCTAGACTGAGGAACACGTCAATAAATGCTAAAAGCAAATTCTAAGTTTATTTGACGTCATTTTAATATATCTATTATCCATAATTGCTCAAATGGAGACGAAATTCATGTAGAAATTATATTACTTGGAATATACAGGGTTCGTCAAAACGAACGCATGTTTTTAAATGAGTAGTACAGTCAAACTAAGTATGGGAAAAAATATTTTATTATATCGAAATACGTAGAAATACATGCCATTTTTTTGAGTAAAACAAAGTTTACGTTCTAAAAACTATGTCGATCATATGGCGCCCTTGAGGCGAAATGCAGGAATCAAGCCTCTTGCGAAATGAGCCCATTGCGTCGGCCAGCATCCGTGCAGGAATTTGGGTTACTTTTCTTCTTATTTCTTCCTTTAAATCGACGAGGGTCCCAGGCTCGCTTTGGTAAGGTTCTGATTTCAGGTAGCCCCATAAAAAAGTCACACGTTGACAGGTCTGGAAAGCGAGGGGGCCATGGAATATCGCCATGATGTGAAATGAGACGTCCTGGAAATTTTTGCAGAAGAAGTTCCATCGAAGTGCGAGCTCTGTGAGATGTTACCCCGTCTTGTTAGAACCACACTGTTCTGAGACGGACACGTCGACGTCGAAGTTCCAGAAAAAAAGTTGTTCAATATGTGGGTGTAATGCTCTGAACTCACAGTAGTTGTTTCTACATCATCCTAAAACAATAAGAGCCAATAATCATCATTGGGCCTACTGCACACCAAACCGTAACTTTCGAGGGTGCTCATGCAACTGTTGGGGGCTTACTGGAGACCAGTATCGACAATTTTGTTTATTGACGTATCCATGTAAAAGAAAATGTGCTTTATGACTCATATACAACGTCATGTTATTGTTATTCAACTGTTCTATCATGAGCTGTGCAAAATTAACACATTGTGCAAAATCCCCTGGCAACAGTTGTCGACAAACTTGGATTTTGTAAGGATGGAACACTAAATCCTTCTTCAAGATGCGACGTACAGAGGACGCGTGGATCCCTAGGGAACTGGCACGCAAACGGACGGAACGATTCGGGCTTTGCAGCGTGTTAACTCTCACTCTACGTTTTCGGGGGTTCTAACAGTACGGTTTCGCCCCGGCGGTTTGTTCTTCATCACATTACCTGTTGTGTTGAATGCTTCCACCCATCTCAAAATGGTGTTACGCTCTGGTACTGGTACACGAAAGTGAACGCGAAACTCACGTTGCTTTCGAACGACAGACTCGCCATTTTGAAAGTACCGACGTACAGTGAACACACGATGCTCAACGTTCCAAACCATCTGGCTAACTAAAACGGCACTTCTCCTACCATCCAACACGCCCTTCCCCACAGACACGGGACCAGCCTACTCGATGTAGTACCCACTCGAAAAACATGCGTTCTTTCTGACGGACCCTGCATATGTAGCTTTTTATTGTTAAAATATACAAAGCTATAGTTTCAACTGAAATAGGAACATTTCTGAAGTAAAAGAAAATAAAATACATTCTGGTAACAAAATCCACCCATTTGACAGATTCATTCAGCGTTGTCAGCAGGGACAATATTTAAATTAGGATTAGACAACATTGTTAATAGCACTCAACGGAAGACCGAGTTCATGAATTTCGTCACTTTTAGTGTGGCCAGTCATATTCACACATAGTTGCCGGATCACGAATATGTTGACGTTTGCGAGTAAACTTAACCTCACCTATGCTACTTTATGCATTCTCTTCTCAATTGTATACACTGTATATGTATCCTTTACATTGTGCACGTATTATATGTCTCGTGGCCATATCGTAGAATTGACCATTTCATGCGATGGCCGCTGAAAACTTAGCTCCACTAAACTTAGCTTTATCTGGTAGATTTGGAACCAACACCTGTTAGATACTCTTCTTGTATTATTCTAAGTTTTCTTGAATACTATACGAAATAATTATTCCCAGAAAAAGGAAAACGATTTGTTATCTGTCGCATTGGCAGTGAAGATGCTTTTCCGCCCACTGCCCTGTGGGCATGTGAATCAAAGAAAAGGACCGACTACCTCGGGAGTTCATACGAACGATAGTTTGAAGAAACGCTCCCAAAGCTTGACGACAATGCCGACATTGTACTTGATAATGTAGCATACATCACTAGAAAACTAGAAAAAATTCCCACAATGTTCACAAGGAAGGCAAAAATTCACAATGGCTTCTATCAAAAGACATTAGTTTCAATGAAAGTATGGTTAAAGCAGAACTTATCCATCTAGTCAGGCAACACAAATCTAAAAAGAATCTTAATATGTTTTAATGCTACTCCTTATTACTGCGAATTAAATCCCATTGAAATGATTTGTGGAAATATAAAGAATTATGTGGCTTCAAACAATAGAACATTCAAATCTTCTGACGTGAAAAATTTGTTTCATGAAGCTGTCAACAGAGTGACGGCAAACTGTTGGAAAGATTGCATCCGTCACGCTCAAGATACAATCGAAGCAAAGATGTGGGATCTGGACAATATGATCGATATTCAAATTGAACCTGTAATAATTAATATTAACCATTTGGACGA